AAAATACACTGGCTAACAACCAATAAAAATCCGGCATTCTTATATAAGGTGTAATTATACCCCGAGCAACATTGTCAACTGCGGTTGACATTGTTCTTTCGATGGTATCAATCTGTCACCCTCTCTACTATGTGTTATTTAGTGAATGTTCTATTATTATTGTCTTTTACTTTTAGATTCTAAATTGAAAGTACTTGACTATAACGTTACGTACATAACAACGTTACAGTCATTAGAAAAACAACAACTAGGAGTAAAGCAAAATGTTTTTTTATATTATTTTGGCAGTCTTTGAAAAAGTTCTGAGGCAAAAACGTAGAAATTGAGCATGGTCTTTAATTCATCGATGTAAATTCCATTCATTGTCCTTTAAATAATCGGTTTTTGATTGATCTGCACGAGAGGGTGACATTCAAAATATTGTCTTCGGCTGAGCCAAGGGATAGAGTAAATTATCTCCCTCGCATTAGCCAATCATAATCTTGCAATTTTTACGTGAAGTATAATAAATGAAATTGTTTAACTTAGTTTTTAATTCCGGTATAATACCTGATTCATGGCTAATTGGTGTAATAAAACCCTTGTTTGAATATAAGGGAGATATAAATAATCTTGATAATTATCGGGCAATTTGTCCCACTTCAAGTTTAGGAAAAGTTTTTACAGCAATTCTGAATGCAAGAATTAATGAATTATCTGACGAATTAGGGATTATAACAGACGCACAGGGAGGATTTCTTCAAGGCTACTCTGTTCAAGACAGTATGTTTATCATGCATGCTCTTGTTTCACTTTATTTCTCATCGGGTAGAAACTCATTGTGTTCATTCGTTGATTTTAAAAGTGCCTTTGACATTTTGTTTACCTTAGGTTAAATGGGTTGTTGATTATTGTGCGCATTTCATCGTTCATTAAACCGTTTGTATGATTTATTTAAGACGATTCTAATTTCTTAACGAGGAACCTAACACGGAGACGCCGGAAAAATTTTAAGAACTCGCAACTTGAAAACTATTACGATGCAATTTATGGGGAAAATAAGTCCGATCTACGAACAACCTGAGGGAGCTTTGATTTACACTCTTTGAATGATCTTAGGATTATCTTAACTTCCCCTTAATTCAATACTTACGATCTCTCTTAATAGAATTTCTTGTTACCAGCCCCACTATCATGAAATCCTATCTTAAGCTTCATTTAATAGGAAACTTACGAACGCTTTACGAGAAAGTTACGAGGGTGCTAAGAGCGTATCTCCAATCCCCTCTTGGGTTACTCTCAACAATGTACCTGCTACCTTAGTATACACTTACGACTTCAAGTTAAGATAGTACTCTTATCGACTTTTCCGAAGTGACCGTCTTTGATTTTTGAGAAGAATATTGGAATTCGCGGCAAAATCGATAGTAAAAGTCATCTGTGCGTTTAATAGATGGATTTTTCTCATTATTGAAGGCCTAACAGTTGCCTATAATTGCTTAAATCCACTTTATTTCAACTTTGGTGGATAGTTGTCTCATTGGCAATCATACTATATCTCCTTATTTTATATTAAAGAAATATTTTCAAACATTGAATAAAATCAAAAATGGCAGAAAGAGCTGCTCCAAACGGTCCGAAGAAAACAAGGGACGATTTGTCTTTCCCTATTGTACATTTTCCATTTTTGGACGCTGATGGCACTGTCTTGTGATGTTTATATATCCCAACTCGTTCGCTATGCCCGTGTCTGTAGTGACGTTTTGGATTTCAATGAACGTAATATATGTATTACTGGTAATTATTAAGTCGGGAATTTCGTTACCGAATTACTTAAAACCTTTACTACATTTTTCCAAAGATACACAGATTTGGTTTGCGAGTTTGGCTGCCCCTGTAGAAAACTTATTTCAAACAGAATAGCACATCCTAATTTTTACGATGATGTTGTTTACCGAGCCTGAAAATTTAGATACGATTCGGGTAACCTTATCAGGACTAATCACTCCTTTAAAAAAACTTATTCTAAAAGGTTACCAATTCAACACTGTAATTAGACCTTTGAATATTGGTTTAATTGGGTTAAATATTGATTTTGTTATCAGTAAATTAAAACCAGAACAAATATTAATGTTTTACACATATGCACTTTTACGGTACTAGAATCTGTCGATACCTATATTTTGGCATTACAAAAGATCATGTGTTTCTCAGACTGTTAATGACGTCTTTATCCTAAATCCATTGGATGTTGGATGTGTATTGATTGTTTTTTTTTAGTCTTAGATACATGATTTTTTTTTATTAGTTGTCATTGGCTTTGAACAAGCTGTCAGCAACTGCAAGTAGACTCAGATCTGTACTTTGTGTCTTTTTTTTATTATTGTTTGGATGTGTAAATACCCCGCCATGTCCGGTTTGTTTATTTGTTAGCTGTTCTTCGTTGTGATCTGATAAGTTAAGGCCTTTTCAACTGAATTTGATAGTTAGTTCTTATGTTGTGCTGTATCTCCACTGCCCCAGGTTAGGGGAGGGTTGAGCGCTCTCAAACATGTTTAACCCCGTCACATTCTTTATGTGTCTGTCTCAAGTCAGGAGCCTGTAGTTCAGTGGTTGACGTTGTTTCATGTCTGTCATATTGGTTTTTCATAAATTGTTTTGTTTGTTGGTTTTCTGAATCAAATTGTTACATATTTTTCATGTCGGGGTCTTTTATAGCCTACTATATGGTATGGGTTCTTGTCATTGTTAAAGGCCGTACGATTGCCTATGATTGCTTACATCCACTTCATTTGAACCTTTTAAGATAGTTGTCTCATTACCACATCCTATCGTGATAAGAAAAGCTAACTTTAACAAAGATGAATCGGAAACAATACCGACAGTTATTCAGATGAAACAAAAGCTGTTACTCGGGACATTTTCAGATTCTGTAATCACGGACAATTCTACGGTCGTCTAGGAAATTCAATGGATTTGTTCGATCTCTAAAGATCCTTCTGGATATCCTATTTTGTTCTCTTGAACGCACATGCAAGAACATTACAAACGCAATGTTATCAACTAAGAGAGAGATAGGGGTGCCCGGACCACTTTTAGAAATTTCTGTTAAGTTTTCAGTGAAAAAAAAAAATTGCTGAGATATTTTAAATTTGCTAAGAATAATCAAAGACGATCTTAAGCTGATTGTCGACGTTCGAGATACCCAGTCGTTAAGATTAAAACTAAGAGAGTGTTCCGAGAAGGATAAAGAGTACTCTTAGGGTTGCGAGTGCAACATGAATTTTAAGGACTGTCAATCATTCTAAGATTACTTCAAGATACACTCTTAGTAGATAAGATGATCTTAAGATGATCTAAAACAGTAAGATTGCTTCATGATACTGGCCCCAGTTATATTATAAGCATTTCAGTTTGCCAGCATAATCATCATCATTCCGCGCATACATACCATTGTTAGGCGGAAGCAGTGGTCAGTTTCACAAAAAATCTTACAACAAAAGATGATCGTAAGTCATGAACAATTTAGTATACTTACGATCAACCTTAGTCACAAAATTGTTGTGAAACTTATCAAAGGAATCGAGGAAGATTAGTGACCGATCCAAAGAGGGATAGTAAATTCAAAGTGTGAGGCCGTACGGGATCAGCAAACCGTATAACGAATTTATCGCACAAGGGACTTTTCCTGTGAATTTTTTTCTTTTATTAAATGTTAAAAATAAACAATGAAATAAAATACAAATAATAGTAAAAAGTGATAAGTAGTTTTGACGTCACAGTGTCTTCATGAAATATACTAACTCCCTGCAAATCAGTAAGTGGTAACCACGTGACGCGTTAAACAAATCACATCGTCGATGTTTACCCGAGGTGCGTACTGTCACAGCTCTGTGTTTGTACAAGTCAAGTCTTACGTAAAGTTAACTGCTAACCAATTCACGACTTAGTTTATGTTGGTTAGCGACGTCCATCGATGCAAAATTTGAAGTAGAAAAAAACATGTAACATTTGCACTTTTATATCAAAATACCCACAATAGCAGTAAACATAAAGCGCTAATTTAGAAACATTTAGATTTAGAACTTATGGAAATAAAGCTGTGAACAATATTTTATGTACATGTATTTGAAACAGACTTTTTGATATTCTATTTCAATACATGTGACAGAGTTGTCAAGTCACAACTGGAGATTTGAAAATTTTAAGCTTGAGTTTGGGCCTCATAACTGGCGATTTTTTATCGACATATTTATCGCCGTTTTCAGTGTATATTTTGATGATAAAGCTACATATTTTCCCCTTTTTTTCAGATAACAGTATTACTATTAATGTATTCTCTCTGTATTATTACCATGTGAAATACTTGCCAACCTTAAGCTATACTATTTGTATCTGATTTTTTTCCTTTCCTCATCTTTGTCTTTATGAGTGTGTTTCTTAGTTCTACCATCCAATAATTTATTTTGAGTTTAACTGTGTAATTCCATTTTCTAACTAATTTTGATTTTGCCAGAATTACAAAAAAATGTAGCATAAACTCTTAGTCAGGCTAAATGATTTTTCTAAACGAGTTTTTAACGATCTTGACTGGCTATACAGCTCTCGCACGGTCGGTATCATGCTAAATTAAGGTCAATACATGGCTTATAAATTTCAATTCAAGCATTGAAAAGAAGTATAGATCTCTCAAATAATCTTCAAAATAATATTTTCTTATTTGTCCTAAGACATTTAAAATCATTAAATTACCATCCTTATATGATTATTTGTTCAATTTGTAATTCATTCATCATGTTCATATTCTTTTATCGATTTACATTATTTTAAGGAGGATAACTTAACATGAAAAATCAAGGGAAGTAACCAGAAATTTCTTTTAAGTGTTTTTTTTTTTCAAATACACAAAGCTTTAATTACATAACGGAAGTTAGCCTGAGGTAAAAATCGTATATTAATATATGTGTTGACACCCAAGCTGTCAAGAGAAGCCATATAATTATACAATTTCTGATTTACAGGTAAAAATTACGTCATCGGTGACACAAAAACGTAATTTTAATGTTGACATCGACTAGCAAATTTTTAGGGGTAAATTTTGAAAAGAACGGAAGATTTGAATTATTAACGGAATGGACGGAAGAGGGATTAAAAATCAGGAGATTTAGACTCCCGCCGGAAGAATCACATGTATGTATTTCCAGTAGGATTTGACAAATTTTAGATAATAACACTGTGAGTCGAATAAAAACAGTGAATATTTGCCCTAACCTTTGTCATGTTTGTATGCAACGGTCCGGGTGTATTTAATTAGGACAATAATTTCCCTTTAGTCTATGATGGTCTTTCATGAATGTCAATTATGGATGATTTTCTAGCTCGAACTTTTACGAAAAAACGTCAACAGTTTGTCTTTGAATGTTTATGTCCATCTTGTCACCTCGAACATATTAATTATATAGATTAATACTTATTTGTTATATAAGACTCGTATATTTAAGATACAATTAAGAAACTTTAATCGTTTTTTTTTTGTTACATGAAAAATGGCGCAAAACAAGCGCTAGTATGTATGTATGTATGTATGTATGTACGTAGATCCCTCCGATTACGGAGCACCTCTCGAGAGCTGCGAGGGTACAGTGGAATCCATGTACACTCCCTATTGGGATTAATGGAGATGTGTCACTAACGTATTTACAATGTTCAATATTTACAAGGACAATCCCCACCCCAACACCAGGGAGTGTTAGGAAACCGGGCAGAATCTGTTATTATGGTGGAGGAAGCCGAAGTACTCGGAGAGAACCACCGGGCTGCTCGGCGGGAACAGACAAACCGAAGAGATATCAGTTAGTAGATTGATCTCCAGGTCAAAGTCGGGAGCAACTTTGACCAACCGAGGCCCCCATTATACCCATTCTAGTTTAAACTCCGGTATGGGTACTAGAGATGTGTGTAAGAGGGTGAAAATCACCCTTCTGATGTACTGATAGTTTTAGCACCCCGAGTGAGAATCGAACTCGGGACCTTCAGCACTGTAGCCATGGGTCTTAACCTCTAGACCACGAACTCACACTAGTATTTTATTGTCACGCAAATTGAATAATACCTTGCAGGATTAATTCAAAACTGTATTTTTCAAAGTGTTGCAATTGTGCATTTTGAAATATTTGCCACTGGACGTAAAATCCACCAACAATCAATGTATTATCATATTCAGAATATAAAAGCGTACAACTATGCACTTGTAGACATGATCTTATAAATATATATGATTTGTGAAATTAAGATAAAATAAAATATGATCGCTGTGTAGTAGTTTACCGAAGTCCTTAATTTTCCGAAAAAGTTGGCAAAGAATCCTCATTGCAAACTAAAAATGCTCTATTTCTGTTAATTTTAAGGGTATGACTCGCTGGCTTTTAACCCCTCCTAACCTGGGACAGTGTCCCAGTCAATTTACAGTGTTTTACCTAATAAATGGTGAAATTCGACTATTTACTATACCCATTGGTGTTGAAGACCATATTAATACAATATTACATTTTTAATAGTAATACCATTTACATTTACACATGGCCTGGGCCGTGATATTCGAATTTTAACGAATATCACGGTCCAGGCCATGTGTAAATGTCCAACAAATCTATGGCTTTCATGAATTATTTCGATTCTAATAGGACAAATACGGTAATTTAAAAACTGAAGCGAAGGTAAGATTGCCGTGTGTATGGCTGTTCTATTTTTACCCCTGTAAGATACACGCTACAAATTTCAAATAAATCTAAGTCTTACATGAATTATTTCTTAAATAAGCACTAGAAAAAATGTGTTCAATTCTCATAATTCTTAACCCAAACATTTTTTTCGTTGGCTACTATTTACTGTCAAATCAAGAGTTGACATGTCGTAACTAAGGGGTGAGCCGCCATGTTGACTTGCTGAAATCCACAAATGTGCAAATATTGCAAGGAATAGAAAATGAAACAACACCTACCTCAAAACTCCATTTTAATGCAATATTATCCAAATTTAGGGCGTATACGTAACGGAAAACCTTCAGTTTGAGAGTTTTCATTCGTATGACGTCATGTTATGACATGACGTTAATGCGCCAAAATTATTCATGAAATTTCGCGGAATTTTATTTTACTTTGATTTGATACATTTTTCAAGCCCTTGTGCATTAATTCTTTTTGTTATGCATTATAATAGGAATAACTGTTCTGTAGTTTCTTTTTCAATTTCAATTTGAACATAACGAAATCGACATAGTGTTTACACATAGGTTACGATACATGTGGATTTACGTGGGAGGTAAATAGTAACAGCCACCAACATGCACATATCTGAGTCTGCGCTAAGTATAGATATATCGAGAATTTTATCACGGTGTTGTTTACAAAGCGAAAGAAGCACGTCATATTAGAATTGATAATTTAGTCTTAGATGCATGATTTCTTTTTTATTAGTTGTTATTGGCTTTTAACTAGCTGTCAGTAACTGCGAGTACTCTCAGATCTGTACTTAGTGTCTTTTTGTTGTTAGGATGTACATGTACCCGTCCACGTCTATTCTGTGGTTTTGTTAGATGTATTTCTATTTGTATCAATTTGATGAGTTAAGTTTTTTCAACTGTTTTTTTATATTTTGTTCTTATGTTGTACTGTTATACCACTGTCCCAGTTTATGGGGAGGGTTGGGCTCTCGCTTACATGTTTAACCCCGCCACATTCTGTATGTGCCTGTCCCAAGTCGGGAGCCCGTAATTCAGTGGTTGTCGTTTATTGGTTTATTGCTGTGTTACATATTTGTTGTTCGTTCATTATTTTGTACATAAATTAGGCCGATAGTTTTCTCGTTTGAATTGTTTTACATTTGTCATATCGAAGCCTTTTATAATTGTCTATGCGGTATGGGCTTTGCTCATTGTTGATGGCAATACGGTGACCTATAGTTGTTAACCTCTGTGTCATTTGGGCTCTTGTGGAAAGTTGTCATCATACCACATCTTCTTTTTTATATTAGAAAAGATATTTAAAATGAAAGAAATATCAATGATATATATACAACAACGTATATATGTGCATCTGAAAGAATTCCTAAATACTGGACAACATTTTATCCTTTTGTTATCTTTTTTTATATTTATTCTATGATATACGATTTCGAGTCCTTCAGACAGGTTAATAACATTGATATGGGTATTCGGATGAATCATCAGTGCACTACGCCATCTACAATCTAATGGGATGATACGATTTTAAATCCATTATCCTTAGTCGTATGGCAAGCCAAAGTGGACAAAAAGAGCTATTTTATAATATTAAAAAATCATTTTTTCATATCAAGAATTCATTTTTAATAAAAGGAATTCATTTTCTAATATCAGAAAAGGATTTTTTAATATTAAAAAAGGATTTTTTATATTAAAAAAATAGCTTTGTTTTGTCCACTTTGGCTTGCCATTTTGTCAAGCTTTTCAAATATTTAAAATTTAACTGTCGAGAGTGTAACACTATAGCGTTACGTGAGATTCGGTGGTGGAAGATGTTTCTCTGATGATTTTTAGCCGATATGCAGACAAAAGTCTTTACTGATCTGCCAAAAGATGCGTTCTTTATATGTGACGTCATCAGGCATAGTCGTCATTTTTCATGACTTTCCACTATGATTTCCAGAAGACAGCAAGAACATTTGACGTTTTAATCAAATTTTCACCAATAAGGAACTGAGATGAAACGAACCACACATTGTTTATAAAAAAATTATTAATTGATCGGGAAAAGTAATTGTATATACTAGTATTCGATTCCACGAATATATGTATAATAAATGAACATACTTGTAATATAGACTTTTCGATAATGGAATTCCATTAGGTTTAACAAGTCTGTCCTTTTTTTTTATAAGTGATTGAATCAGTAGCAAATCTTTTATGCATTATCATTACAATTGATAGTTTGACCAGATTGAAAAGCACGAAATTTGGACTGCCATTCGAAAAATATTGGTATGTTCCATATAGGGGTGCTTTGAATGAAACAAACTGGTGACCTCTCGATAGCGTGACACTCAACCTACACGATTCATCAGATGTGACTGATTTTTTATACATAGCGCCCAGGCAAACAAACACCCCACTACATGTAAGTTTCACTGACAGACGGGAAGGAACAGGGACCATCCTATTGTGCGGCCTATATTCTTCAATAAATCCTTAAATAATTTCCGATTTGGACATTAAACAAAACACAAATAGGGAGTATGTGTATTTATTTATTTTAGTGTTATCAATCCTTTAAACGATTTTTATCATTAACTAAGAGCAAATGTCGTTATTTCCTCTCTCAGAATGCTTATACTGTAAATTCAGAAATTATTGCGTGCATTTATTATTGCGATTTTTAAAAAAAATAACAAAAATGCGAGTTTAATTATTGCGATTTTAGGAAAAGCTACATACAGATATATGTATTTGATATCAGAATGCGAGTTCTTATTATTGCGATACTAAAGTAGTCGCATTATTCGCATTAATAAAAACCTCGCAATAATTTCTTAATTTACAGTAGTTGAATGTCGCCTTGTAACGAAATGACACTTTTATTCGAAATAATGGACCCCTCTCTCGAATTACTATACGTCTACTAACTTGCCCTTCAGCAAATAATCTAAGCCTAGTCTATCATTTCACCATGAAGTTCAACTCATTTTTTAAATAAAGAAATATGGAGATAGCCAATGAGACTACTAACCTACGGAGAACAAAGGACCTGAATGAATGTGACTACAAGTCACCGCACGGTACCGTATAGTTAGCTATAAAAGGCCTATGTATGCCAACACGTGAAACAATTCAAATAGCAGGCCCCTAACTTTGGACAGACATTTACGATTGTGGCGACGGCAAACATGTTACTGTGCGCTCAACACTAATTTTGTTATTCTTAAATACCATTAGATATATTTTTTGAAAGTAAAATTCAACTAATGAACATGATGAAACAAGTAAAATGTTCGTGTTCAGTAAAGTTGAGACAAAATATGAAATAGACAAATACATTCTTAAAAATAATTTTGAAAATCAAAATTTTTTATGTAAAATGCGAGTAGGTGACCATTTCTTGGAAATAATTAGGGGTAGCTATAAAAGAATTCAAAGAGAAAATAGAATTTGTAAATAT